AAAAAAAAAAAAAAAAAGAAATATACAATGGTGCAGCCACTATGGATAAAAGCTTGATGGTTCCTCAAAAAGCTAAATATAGAATTACCATATCACCTAGCAGTTCCACTCTTAGGTATACACCAAAAAATTTTAAATTTTTTAAATCCAAAAAATTTAAAGCAGCCACTCCAACAGACGTCAATGCTGTCAATGTTCATTGACAGCATTCGTAACAGAAGTCAACAAGTAGAAACAATCCCAAATTTACATCAACAGATGAGTGAATAAACAAAAGGTGACATGGAATATTATTTCAAAAGGAATAAAGTTCTGATAAATACTGCAAAATGGATGAACCTCACAAGCATAATGATAAATGAAGTGAGACACAAAAGGATATATATTGTACAATTCCACTTACATGCAACAGCCAGGCCAGAAAAAATCACAGCAACAAAAAGTGGATTGTAGGTTATCAGGGGGTACGAGGAGGATGAAAAGGGGAATTATTGCTTAGTGGTTGCAGAATTTCTGTTTGAGGTGATAGAACAGTTTTAATAAATCATTAAATATGAAATGTCTGATTTTGAATCAAAAGTGTAGTTTATCACATCTCAAATGAGAAACGGTACAATTAATCAAAGTATGCACCTAAACTATCGACACAGTTTTGCCATCTTAACAGTAGCTTGTTCATGCCAGCAGCAAGGAAGCCTGGAGAGCGAGTGGCAATAAAATAGCGAAAGGTGTTTTCTACAGCTTGTTGAGAACTGAATACTTTTCCTTGCAAGAAGTGGTCCAAAGCCTGGAAGAAGTGGTAGTCAGTTGGTGCAAGGTCGGCTGAATACAGTGGATGACAGAGAGTTGTCCAAGTCCAGCCTCTATGGTTTGAGCAGCACTGTTTGTGTGACATGTCATTGAGTGTTGTCTTGCAAGAGGATTGGCCTATCTCTGCTGACCCATCTTGGCTGCTTAATCCCAAGCATCCTCATCATTTCATCCAGTTGGTTGCAGTAGACATCTGCTGTAATCGACTTACCAGGTTTCATGTAGCTGTAGTGGATAATACCAGCACTGGACCACCAGACACCATTAGCTTTTTTTTTGATGAATATTCAGTTTTGGACTGTGTTGCAGCACTTCATCTTTATCCAACCATTGTGCCAAACACTAGCAATCAAAAAGCATCCATTGGCCAGGCGCAGTGATTCACGCCTGTAATCCTAGCTCTCTGGGAGGCCGAGGCGGGCGGATTGTTTGAGCTCAGGAGTTCGAAACCAGCCTGAGCAAGAGTGAGACCCCGTCTCTACTAAAAATACAAAGCAATTAATCGGACAACTAAAAATACATAGAAAAAATTAGCCAGGCATGGTGGCACATGCCTGGAGTCCCAGCTACTCGGGAGGCTGAGGCAGAAGGATCGTTTGAGCCCAGGAGTTTCAGGTTGCTGTGAGCTAGGCTGATGCCACGGCACTCTAGCCCGGGCAACACAGTGAGACTCTGTCTCAAAAAAAAAAAAAAGCATCCATTTTTCATCACACATCACAATACGGTGTAGAAATGGTTCGCCTTTATGTCATGACAGCAAAGAGAGGCAAGTTTCCAAACAATTTCTCTTCTGACGCTTGTTTAATTCATGAGGAGCCCATCTATCCAGCTTCTTTATCTTGCCTATTTGTTTCAAATAGTCCAATATTGTTGGACTAGTAACGTCAAACCTTGCTGCTAATTTACAAGTAGGTTGAAGTGGATTCATTTCCACTACCGCTTTC